GGCTAGCGGACCTGACGGGGTGCCGGTCGAGTTTGGCAAAGCTTGCCCAGCTATGTGGCAGGGCCTTCTTCTCCCTCTCCTTCTTAAGGTCGGGATCCATTGCCGTGAACCGATCGGCCTCAAGTCTGGCATCCTTACCTGGATGTATAAGGGGAAAGGTAGCAAGCTTGCCTGCTCTTCCTATAGGGCCATCATGTTGCTGTCGACAGTCGCAAAGACGTTGCACAGGGCATTTCGCCCTGCCCTGTATAGGTTCTTCGACCACCGATCGCTTCCGGTCCAGATCGGTGGTAAGAAGAGTACGACGGTTCTATTTGGAGCACATCTCAGCAGATCTTTCCTGGCATGGCGAGCCAGCTGTTCCCTGTCTGGGGTGATCCTCTTCGCTGACGTCGCAGCTGCTTATTACAATGCTGTCCGGGGTCTGACCGCAAGGAGCTGTATTGCGGCTGACGATGTTGACCCCTCTGTCCCGTCTGAGGTTGCTGCCCGCCTCGAGGAACCCAGTGCCCTTCAGGCTGGTGGCGCGGACCCGTGGCTCGAGTCGCTGACTCACGATTTCAACAATAACACCTGGATGACCCTTGCCGGTGACAGCCAGCACATCGTCACCACCAAAGGCAGCCGTCCCGGGTCGTCGTGGGCCGACCTCTTCTTTGGGGTGACTGTTCCAGGCATCTTGGCTCTGCGGGACCAGCTCCGTGCCGAAGTTCTAGGGGAGGAGATATGCGGCAAACCCACCTTTGTCATGTGGGACGGAGCCCGCACTTTCAGCGGCTCTGTCCAGCCCTCCATCGCAGCCCCTCTCACTGAGGTTGTGTGGGCTGATGATATATCCTCGTACTTGTGCCTCGATGAGCCTTCCACCGCCGCCTTTCGACTTGGGGTTGAAACTTCTGTGCTCATCGACGCCTTTGCGGGGTACGGTTATAGCCTCTCTTTTGGTCCGGGCAAGACAGCCGCAGTTGTGGCCTTGCGAGGCGGCGGCGCTAAGCATGCTCGCCGCCGCCTCTTCACAGGTGATGCCACAGTTCCTGTTGTCTCCGAGAACCGTCCTGGTGAGAAGCTGCCACTTGTGTCGGTCTACAGACACCTAGGCGTGCAGGTTGCGGCTGCCGGTTCGCTGATGCCTGAGATCAAGCAACGTGTGGCGCAGGCTTGGGTAGCCTTCCGGCAAGGGAGGACCAAAGTGTACCGTTCCAGGCGTCTGACTTTGGTTCGCAAGGGCAATCTCCTACGGTCGCTTGTGCTTTCCCGACTCCTGTTTGGGAGCGGCTCTTGGGGGACCCTTCGTCTAGGCGAGTTCCAGGCGTTTAGCCGTTGCTTGGGAGCGATGTATCGCCAATGCCTTTGTGTTCTCCCCAGTGCCGATCAAGAGGTCTCTACTGAGACCATGTGTTCCCTTCTCGGCCAACCTGATGCCCTAACCATTTTGAGGGTCGAGCGTTTACGCTATGCCCGCCAGCTTGTGGCTACGGGGCCTGATGTGCTTTGGGCGTTGCTCAAGCACGATGCAGCGTTCACGGGGGCCATCCAGGACGCATGTCGATGGCTGTACCGTTGGGTCTGTGAGACATCTCCCCTCGAGGATCCTGCGACTGCTTGGGACGGGTGGGCCCGCATCATGGTTGACCGACCGCGCCTGTTTCGTGGCCTTGTCAAGCGGGCCCGCGCGCTTGAATGCCTCAGGCTTGGAGCCTTTGCCGCCTTCCAGGCAGTGCATAAAGCTTTGTGCGTTGTAGGCTGTGCGACCCGTCCGGATGTCACGGACCCTGATGCCGCTGTTGAGTTCCGGGATGCGTGCCTGCTTTGTCGTGTGGCCTTTGCCTCGCGGGCGGCATGGTCTGTCCATGCGGCTAAGTGCCATGGGTATCGAGCACCCGCGACCCTCCTTGCCCGCGAGCAGACTACCCCCTTCTGCGCAGGGTGTGGCAGACTGTACGCCAACCACGGCCGGCTCCGGCGCCATCTGCTTCATGCTGCAGCCTGTCGCACGCATTGGGGCGCCTTCCAGCCCGATGGTGGAGCGGCCAGCACGATCTCAGTCCCCCACGAGCAGCGGCCTCCCTGCCTGCTTACGGGGGAGATTGGCGTGAGGCCGGCCAGTGTTGATGCTGCTGTCATTCATCCGGGCCTCCTCACGGCTCTGCTTCACTTGCCTGCCCCTGATCCTGACCTCGTCTGGAGTACGGTCACTGACTTTGTTGAGCCGTTATCCATCTTGAGGGCTACTTTGGAGGCATGGGCGGTTCATGAACAAGCGCAGCCGGGGTCCGCCGAATGTGCCTCCGACACCGTCCTTCTTCTCGATCCCGAGTTGTGGTGTGACGATTTTCGAAGGCCCAAATCCGGCAGAAGACAGCAAGTCGTTTGCGCACCACTTGCACCTCCTAAGGCCTGTCGCTGCTCCTTTGTTATGACCGGCCCCGAAGCTGTGTTCAGGCTGGATGAGCCACCTCTGCCTTCAATGGTTTACCCGTTCCAGGCAAGTGTACCTCTCGCCTACGCCCGTCGGCACTTTGCTTGGCTTGAGCAGGCCTGCGATAGTCTTGGCGCTTTCGTTCAGGCTTCTGCCTCTTCCCCCGCCAGCTTCCTTGCCTCCGGGACTGCACTCAATTGCCTTGAGCCCTTGATTTCATGGGCTGTCGAAAGCGGCTTCGAGAAACGCCCGCGAGGCCTTTTTACGGCCCGCGAGTAAGAACTCGCTGCTTTCGTTTTTCGTTTCACTTGAATTTAGACATGCATGAGGCGCGTCCTCAGGACACCAAGCCACCCAGAAAGAAAGAATATATATATATATATATATATATGAGTCTATATATATATATATATATATACGTGTGTGCATATGTATATGCATGTATATATAATTACAGATCCAATTTTCCGTTAACACCATGAAACTAACTTGAAGACGCCACAACAGCACTTGGCTTGATACAGGACCCGTGTGGATGCTTCCTGATTTAGGGCGCCAGCACGTTGCAAAGAAGTGTTGGTGTCGTCGAGCAGTCTGTGCCTGTGCGCCCAAGTTCAAGCACGGCCTTGTGAGTTGATGTTCCATACCCATCTGCATTAACCCCTTACCCGTTGAGGGGTCTTTTGTGACGTAAGCCTATATACCAAAACACCCCGGGCATGATTTTAGAGGGATCGGCTAGCATGATCTGGCCTTCGTGCCACCAGCTGCTTGCTTGTTCAGTGTGCAGCAGCTCCGCCTGCCTCGGGTAGGGTTTACGGAGTTGAGGGATACATACAGTGTGATTTCTTCTTGGGTTCGTTGAATAATACATGTCTCATATTGCTGTTCAAAGTACCCGGGGTCCATTAGATGAACGAAGAACTTACATCCCAAGACCAAATCCTGCACTTTAAAAACTACTAGACTCTGCGCCCTGACCCCTAAAACTACACACTCTAAACCCAGGTGTTCCCTGCTAAGCTTGGCGAGGCCTAAATGTGAAACCAACTACCTAGACCCTCCATCTACCCTCTATGAAACCCTAAATGCCCATTATTTGGGGCCATATACCCCTATTTGAGGGTACAAGGAGGGTCCTGGTCTATACCCCATCTGCACTCCGGTTCTTGGGTTCCATGGTACAGAGTGATTTCCGGCTGACTTCAGTCGCGCAGCGCATGACGAGCGGGGACTGCCAGAAGTCAGTGGGATGTGAGCAGAAGATCTGCAAGGAAGGGGGTTTAGGGGTTTAGGGTTCAGGGGGTTGCGAGAATTTCCATGTTCGCTTCAGCCTGCCGAGGTAGTCCCACACCTTGAACCGTAAACGGGCTGGCGGCTAGCAGCATTCTGCCCACGCCCCAGACGCTGAGAAGAGACCTGAGATGTGTAGGCACCGAAAAGGTAGGTGACAAAACATCTGGAGGTATCGGTAGCAAGGCCGGGAGGAGTCGGGTCTCCATGAAAAGTTTGCTGCCATTTTGGAGTTTAGACTTGCTGCATGTTGGTCTGCGTTTGCTGCCGCCGCGATGTGGATGTTGCGTGGCTCTTGCGTTGGTCCTTCGCAGCCTCGCCAAGCGACGAAATTCCTAACACTATGCCTTTAAAGCATCCGGCTAGTTCCATTTTTGGGCCCTGAGGTTTGGGCTCTGAGGTCTGGTTCTTTTTGTTGGGGGGGTGTGTGCAGGAGAGGCGGCTTGCTGCGTCTATGACATGAGGAGGGTGCTCATGCTTCAGACCCCTAGGCTTGGGGCTTCAGGACCACAGTTTTTTCTCGGGTTTCGTGCGAATCCGGTCTATGTCTCGCCGCTTCCCTCAAGAGACGCAGATAGTTTAGCTTCCTGCTGGTGTGGCCCAGTCGCTTCCTCAGTGGAGGGGTCGAGCATGGGCGTATGCCCGCCCCCTAAAATGTGCCAGAAGACGCGAAGCCTGGGGAGGCCACATAATGAAGCGTCAGAAATCAAGAACTTATGTAGACCATCTGGTCACTGCTGTTTGCTGCTTTATGCTGATCAGGCAGACGGTGGGAGTGATGCTGGACAAAGGCGATTTGAGTTACATGAATTGTAATGCCGATGACGAGGATAATGGCAATTTGATGGTGACGGTGGTGCGGGGTGGTCCTGGTGAGTATGTTGACATTTTGATGCAAACGACATTGTACGGATATCATTTCGAGCATAGCCGCACTTGCAATTGTGGTCCATAGAAAATCAAAGTTTGCGGGTAGAACATCATGGAGCCATCTGCTTATATCAACACCGGCAGTCCCGGCAATTCCCGCCACTATACGTAGCAGAAGCGCCACAGTCGCCACTGCCACTCCACCACGCCGCAGCCGCCGACGCTTCCTCCCAGCACCAGCAGCAGCACACTTAAGCCCCTTGTTCACATGATGTCGCATATGTCACATAGTAGCATCCTTCACGTTTGCCGCCACAACATCATCTTAGTAGCATGCTTGGTCCTAGTATTGCCTCGGCATCATTGCCGGCTTCATCATCTCTCGTCGCGCGAAGCTTGGAACCAGACCAGTCTGAGGATGCGGTCTGTGCCGACAGTCCTCCTCTGCTTCAGCGGCCCGCAGATCGTCTCCTCATGGTTGCCAGGCTGTTCTTGGACACGACCTCCTTTCTTCTTAACTACCGTTTGTAGCGGGAACAGAGGCAGCGGTCAGAATTCAATCTAGCAGCTGCTTTCGGTTCCCTCAACAATAAACGCAGCGTCGCCATCACTCAGCACAACCCCTCAGAAATACGCCGAAATGACCGCAAGCTGACTCGTAAACACTAAACTCCTTAAGCTGCACAAACTAAAAGGCCCATGAGACCCTTGTTTCGCGACGAAACCCTACGAAAGCCCTAAGCCTCGAACCTTAAATCCCAGCAACCCAAAACCCTGCAAACCTTGAACCCGTTCTCAAAGAGCCGAAACTCCCCAAGCCGCGAAAGCCTCCAAGACAGCGAAACCCTCGAACCTAAACTCTAAACCCTACCTGGACCCTGAAGAACCTACCTTTTTAGGGTTCCTTATTATGATTTCCTTATATAAGTCCTTAAAAAGGTAGGTTATTTGGGTCTAAGGTAATCCTTGCACACCCTAAACCCAGGTCTGCGCCGGGCCAAGGGAGGTGTGCTGAAAGCGCCTGCAAGGCAGCGGCCTCTGCGGGGTGCAGGCTTGCCGCGCCCGCATCTCGCTTTGAGCAAGGTTCTGATTGTTCAAGCTACTTGAGAGTCCTTAACCTTAATTATACGTTTTTTTGCTTAGTTGTACTTGTGTAAATGTACAGCTACAGCCGCAATGACGATTGTAATGGGAATTAATTAATATAATAACACAGCCTCTTCGGCTTATGACGAGGTCCACCAGTTGCGGCGTTGAGTCCTGGCCTTGTCGCGTCGGATGAGACACCACGTTCCTTTCCTTCTCTACCCATATATCGATCCTTATACAGTACTCTATATATGTAAAAACGAGCCTATAATAGCCTAAGCCTATGCTACCATCACATCCTTAACGGAACAGGTGCTATAGGCCAAGAGCCCCAACTCCCAGGCATCATCGGAGCGCTCGTTCCCGGCCTTCCAGACGGCCGCGGGCGCTGCCGCGCTGGCAGCGCTGTGGTCGCTGTCCCCGCTGACACTCAGACGGCTCGGAGTTTTAAGGGTGTATAAGGGTTCAGAGTATCGTTAAGGCATTATAAGAGGTTTGTAGTTGTTAGAGTCGTGCCATTTTTGTACAGTGCCGCTGCTGGAAGGACTGCAGGCCTCAACTTCAGCGTCCCCTCCCGAAAAGTCGATAGGATCTAGGTACCACGGCGAGACTCCAGGGTCATAGCTCGAGATGCTTCAAGAAGGTTGAGAATTCAGAGCTTTGGCGCATCCGCCCCAGAGGGTGTCGAGGTTCAGGGTGTAGCATTCGGAGTCGTGAGGTTTACGGTAGGCCTGATGGCCGAGAGCTTCTAGGTCCTGCGAGCGCGGAAGCTGTGAGGTCTTGTGAACCTTGGAGCCTGCTTGGGGCTGGGCTACGCACATGTAAACGGGGCCCTTTTGTTTTTTGTGTGTTTCTCTGTCTCACACTCTCTCACTCTCTCTCTCTCTCTCTCCCTCGCTGTCTGTGGTGGCGTCCTCGCGGGTTGTCTCGCTGCGTAAGGGCCCTTATCTCACAAAAACCTCCTGCATGGCATTGCCCGTTCTGCCTCGGTACATTTTCGACCAACTTTAACAAGCAAGGATTGTCTACGGGCGAAGACGAAACCCCTACGCTGGCCCTTATAGCAGCCTAAACCAGAGAGAGCCCATCTGGAAAATCAGCCACAGACACCCGAGCCCGAAGCCCACCGCACGAAGGACCCGAGGAAGGCAAAGAGCAGAGCGCCGCCCTCGTATCGTTTTGTGTGCAGAGGCGGAGGCACATCCGACAACAAAGGAAGATTAGCCGATTAGCCATGCCTTTCAATTTTAGGATTTAGCCTTAAGCGAAGAATGCCCTAGATTGGGTTAATCAGATGCATCCTGCTATTCCGGGATGATGCAAATTTGGGTTTCTGAATCAGATTCCTGCACTTTCCCTAGAAGCCGAAAGCGAAAGCTCCGGAGGTACGGTTGATGATATCAATCCTGCACTACTTTACTGACCCTAGACTATGGGAATTATGGCATATCTCTTTATATGGGTACTGAACCCTAAACCCTAAAGCCTAGCTCGATCGCCAGAGGAGGCTCCGCCGGCGGAGTCGAAGCAGGAGCAGGTCGTCACGCCCTGGGAGGTTCCGGGCCTTTGAAGTTTCAAGCCCTACATTGGAGCTTAGGGTTTAGGGTTCCTTAAATGGGAGTTCCTGAAAGTTAGCGGTGGCGTATTCAAGGGTCCGTGATAATAAGGATCCTACTTTTTAAGGTACTATGTTAGGGTCCCCTATTTTCGGAATCTCCCAAATCCTCCAAACCTTGGGGGTGTAGGATGGTTTCGTGGGTCTTTTTCTATAAACCAGTAGGCCATCCTAAACCCGGAGCCCTGAAACTTAAAGGTCTTATGAGGGCTTAGAAGGGTTTCTTAAAAAAGGTTCTTTCGAATCGTTTGTTGCACGCTGCTGCTAAACGTGGAATGTTGGGATATCGGGGTGTTGAGTGAGTGTATATAGGTCTAAGTTCAGGCTTCAGGTGTGAATTTAGGCTATCTGGGGCAACCTTCGGGTCGCAAAAGGGCCCCCAAAACAAAAGAACAAAAACCCGGAAGCCCCTAGGCCTGGATTCTGAACCTTTACGAGCAAGGCGTGGGAAATGCTACGCAAGCTGTCCCCTGGGTTGGCCTTTGGGTTTGTTGAACATCTCTGAGAGAACTGGCTTTTAGAGGGACCGTATGCATAGAAATGTTATCATCTTTTGAAGGCCAGCCCACTCCTGCAGGTAGAGGCAGGCGAGGATGGAGTCGATTACGACAAACTCATTGAGACCTTCGGTTGCCAGCCGATTACTGCGGAACAGATTGAGAGAGTAGAACGCCTCACGGGCGACTCGGCTTGACTGACGTCGCTGCTGAAGTGCCTTTTCCTGGTTTGGAAGTTGATGTTTCGGTTTCCTCATGTACCCGTAAAAAGTTGTGCTGAAGTCGCTGCAAGATGCCATACACATCTACACAGGGCTCGGAGAATTCAGGCATGGGATTGCCGGCGTCAAGTTTTGAAGCTGGCAGTGCGTGCCCCACATGCTCTAAAGTTGCTTGCGTCCCGGAGAGCCTGAAGCCTTCGACAGGTTACAAAAAGGGATCTTCATAATTACCTATACTTTAGAACTTTAGGAGCTGCCCCCACCCTGTAATAGTGACTATAAGGATTATATTGGGGCCCTACTATATTCCTATTATACCACTATTACAGGGTGGGGGCCCCTTCCAACCTATACTATTAAGGGTGTTCCTTATTGACATATTTGAGATTATAGTATAATGGGCCCCAAAACCCTGTGCTGGTTGCTGTCAATTAGCCTCCTGTTAAAAGTCACGTTGGGTTTGGGTCGGGTAACTTATCTACTAGTGTAGGAGCTTGCTTCTAAATCCCGACGGCCATCGGATCCTTTTGGTACCAAATCAGGCTCCTACATTGTACAAGAAAGGGGTTTAACGGCCAGGCAAGCGTGCCCACAGATTTCTCCGACGCGGCCTCTTCTTCTCGCACCGGGATTTGGACAGCCTCCTTGATGCCTATGAGACTTGGGTTCAATCCAGAGAGACCGTTAGTATACGGGCCTTTATAATCACCTATACTATTTTGGAGTTTCCTTTTTATAGTTGTAGTATAATGGGCCTCAAACCCTATTCTAATCATTAAGGCGCCTGTGTTACACTCCGAAACCCTGCAACCCACGATCCCCAAAAGGCGTGAAACCCTCCACTCCTAAACTCCTACAACCGAGACCGTTCTACCCGCTGATGTTCCAAACCCCTACACTCCCAAAGTCCTCAACCAAACCCTAACCCTGAAGTCCGAAAGCCCTTGTAGGAATCCTTGTTACAGCACCAACCCTAAACCCTGAACTTCTTAAGCCTTACATAAAACCCGAAGCCCCCTACAAACCCACATCCTAACTCTCAAAACGCTAACCTGGAACCCATTCTACTGGGCCCTAGAACCATGAAGCCCTTAACAGTTATGACTAAACCCTAAACCTTAAAACCCTGAACCTCTGAAGCCGTACCCCAATGCCATACATCCTGAAATACCCAAGGACGGAAAGATGCCCTTAAAGATAAGGAATCACAACTTAAGGCCATGAACCTCAGATCCTGAACCCATTCCACCTATATTGAACAGATGGGACCCTAAAAAATCTCAAGCAAAACCAAATCGTCCTATTGCGCCCATTATATGGAGCCATAACAACTTGGTAAAACCACGTAAAAACTCGATTTCCGATCACCCAACCCACCAGTCCCGGTTTCGAGGGTTTAAAATTTCAAGGGTTTATGAAGAGCTAGGCCAGAATATTGAGGTCCAGAATCCAATCTACCACAAAACCGCTGGAGTCTTCTTGCTGCAGAAATTCACAGGAGCCTTTTAAGAACCCTGCGCTTAGTTTCTTTAGGGATTAAGGTTTATAGGGCCTAACAGCCCTAAGCTGTAGTGTAGTCTGGTTTTTCGAGCCTTAAACCGCCCTGGAAAGGAAAAAGGCGAGCCTTTCTACATCTACACCGGCCGTGGTCCTTCTTCCGAGTCCCTCCACCTTGGCCACCTTGTCCCGGGGCTTACGATTTAGGATTTTATGGTTTGGGGTTTCGAAGTTTCATATTAAGGGTTCTGGGGTCTCGGATCTTGAAGCTTAGCATTTAGACGGGTTCTGATGTGTTTGGAAGGGCTCATAAAGGTTCCGTGACGGCGCTTTGGCGCATACCACATGAGGTGTTTGGGTCCTTGGGTCTGAGGTGTTTGAGGCTTGTGGCTTATTTGTGTTTCTTGTTTCAAGTTTTGGGGTTTCTGAGTTTTGGCCATTGATTGGGTTCTAGGCGATTTGGGTGGATGGCTTTCACGCTTAGATTTGGGGCTGAGGGACTCCTGACAGCCTAAGCCCGAAATCCTCAAGGCATTAAGCCCTGAACCCCGTAAACCACCGATAAAACCATAGAACCGTTAAAAGAGCACCTGCAGAAGTCAGTTCCGCCGCGTAGCGCCCGTATCTAGCCCTTTCGAAGCGCATTTCATGCACCAGAAAGTCAGGGTAAAGACGTATAAAGCCAAAAAAATGCCTTGTAACGCTTTGACAATGCTTTCCAGAGCTTCCAGAGCTTTGTGACACTGTGACAGTTGCCTTGCAAATTCACTGCCAGCAACTGGTAAACGTTTCGTTCATGCTGTGACAGGCCCATGTACTACCCTGCATCATGCACACAAGACGGATGCTTTGAATCACCTTAGAATAACAATAACATTAACAACAAAAGTCTGATAACACAACAAGAACAAGAATAAACAACAATAGCAATATGTTTTACAGTCCGAAGCGGCCATGATAGTTCCCTTGCGTTGTACGGCCTTGTAAAGACCTCAGAAGCCTTCTAAAGTAGATTCTCAGACCCTGAAGCCTTCACCCTACACCCTAAACGCCCTAAGCCCAAAAACCCTAAACCTTGAACCCATGTGGAGCCTTGCCTGCCTTGTGCGAGTGTGAGCGTCGAAACCTTGAACCCAAAGGCCTTTTACTCATGCCAGCACTTTAAATCTCTATATACTTTGAATCCAGACTCCGAGGTGCCCTTCCTATTCACGAAGTGGCTGCAAGAGGCTTTCGATGTGCCTCTCGTCATCGAGCTCACCGACGATGAGAAGTTCCTCTTCAAGAAGGAGGGGCGTCGAGTAGGGTTGAGGGCTTGGCTTTTGGGAAGCTGCGAGTTAAGAGGGGCAGTATACATGAGACTGAAATGTTGGAGAGTCCCAGGTGACTGTGAGTTCGTAGTCAAGATTTGGCGTTTGAATGACGCACTATCAAGGCCTAAACGCCCTGCACCATAAACCCCTGTTTCCACAAACCCTGAACACCACACCCCAAAAACCCAAGCCCGGATCCTTTATGTTGCACACGACAAGCCATAGTTTGGAGGCAAGGCCTCAAACCCCAATGTGAAAGCCTGAACAAACTACTGTATTCCTGTTGTACCTTTATCCTTAGAGTGCAGTATACCTAGAAAATCCAGTCTGTATAAAGGCTCCTGCACCCTGGCCTGAACCTGTATAGCAGCCAAAGAGCCGTAAATCTACTGAAGGAGCCCCTAGATTAAAGTCTCCAGGACCTTGGTATCGATGAGGCTCGGCGGCTAGCATGGGAGAATGCAAAGGACATCATCGCCTGCGGTTTCTCGGAATATGTAGGGGATCAAGCGTCAGTGGTTAGGGCTTCTTGTGAGCGCGTGCTTGCGCAGTAATCGTCGCAAGACCTTTCAAGAAACGACCCTGAAACCCATGAATATTGCGGATCGCAGCCCTCAAAAGCGCCCAAGCACCAAGCCCAACACCAGCGCCTACCTTTGATTCCGCACCCCAAACCCCAAACCCAACTTGAGCCGCTTGGATTCCTAAACCCTAAATCCCGAAGGCAAAGAAAAGACCTAAAGCCCAAACTCAGCCATGCGAGAGGGAAATAAGCCCAAAGCCGCCAGTCCGAAGCACCAAAAGATGCCGTCTGTTTCGGTTTAGGGTTTATAGGGTTAAGCCCTATCAACCCTAAACCCCAAACCCCAAGCCCCCTAAACCCTAAACCCCCTAAGCCCTAAACCATAAACCCCAAGCCCCAAGCCCCCTAAACCCTAAACCCCCTAAGCCCTAAACCATAAACCCCAAGCCCCAAGCCCCCTAAACCCTAAACCCCAAACCCCAAGCCGTGGTCTGCTTCGCCGAGGCTTCGACCCGGCGAAGACCTTTATCTTCCGTGACACGGAGCCTCGGGCCGAGGTTGGAGGGTTCTACAATTTTTGTAACGATTTTACTTTGTAATATGCATCATGTAATATATATATATATATGTATGTATGTATGTATGTATGTATGTATGTATGTATGTATGTATGTATATATATATATATATATATATATATATATTATGTAATATGTAATATGCAAAGTGTAGTATATAATATGTACTGTGTAATGTATTATATAATAAATAATATATAGTATATTTAGTTCATAATTTGTAACCGAGAAGATGTAGTACATAGCTTATAAGGGTTCAACGGTTAAGGAGCCTTGGCTTCCGCTTCGAGGAGTTGGACTAACGTCTGTTTATCGTATGTACTGTAGGGGCCTTAATGATTACTCATACTATTTTGGGGCTCCTTGCTATAGTTATAGTAGAATGGGCCCCAAAGCCTTATTCTAATAATTAAGGCCCCTATACTATCTGTTCGGTTTTGGGAGGGGTTTGGTTCCGAGCAGTTTCAGTAGGCAACAGGGTTGGGAGCTCAGGAGTTACCGCACTAGCTTGCACCGCGAGTTGTTGATGAGGCATCTTCTGATTGCGTGGAAACGGTACAGGTGTTTTGGAGGAAGCATGGGGATCGATGTGTGTTTTGGCACGCAAAAGTGCGAACAGCTTGTGCGTTTCTCTTCACGTCGCCGCGAAGACGTCAGCACCCTAAACTTTAGCAAGGACTACATCGGCCAGCTTTATCCAGTCGCGCTGCAGATCCAGACGCTCGAGCTGAAAGATTTGGGGGAAGCTCGGGATGTTGCTGGTCGTTTGCGTTTAGGGCTTGAAGTTTAGAGGTTTCGGGCAAAAAGCAGTGGTTCGAGACCACACGCCATCATAGTAGCAGCAGTCGTCGTCGCCGTCGTTGTCCGTACTTATTTGAGAGTTGCAGCAAGGTTAGATGACCCAGCATCGACCCTGAACAATATAGGATCCTTAGAACCACCTTTTTACTTGTTCGCATGATTTGGGCCCAGGGTCGATGGTAAGGGTCGGAGCTTTGAATCGGTGCTACACTGCTCTTCGCTTGTAACTGTGTATCTTTAAGAAAGCTCCGGCTGGTTCTTGGGCGCTCGCGAGTTGAACTCTGCTAAGGTCGACTCGTGCAGGGTTTCTGAACTCGGCAGCCCTGCAGACGTGTCTTCGGTTTTGAGATCTAAGGATTTAGGCCTTCGGTGCTTGCGGTGTGTTTGGTTTAAGTAGGATTCTAGTTACATCCTGCGTGCTGGCGGCCAGGAAGAGGGTGACGCTGCGAACTGCGCAGAACACCTTCGGCTTCACCCTTAGCGAGCCGCGCCCGCAGCTCTCAAGCCAGCGTGCTAACGCGCTCATCGGCTTGGGTTGAAGGATTCAAGGACAGGTTATGGTTCTTCAGTTGATAGTCTGACCGACCCGCTGGATCCGGGCTTACTTCCGAAGTATCCCCCCCGCCAGCCTCAACACCCAATGACATGGGGTTGATCCAAACGCTCCGAAGAGGCAGCCTTTGTCACTTTGCCCGCGACCGGCTTCCCCATGGTTACTAGGATCTTTGCATGGTTGCTTGCTTGGCTCGAGCCAAGGATAACATTGGCAAGTGCGCCTTCACTGCCATCCAGGTGCAAGAACCCAGAAGAGCAAACCCTAGAGCATGTTGCGCGCAGTCACATCGTCATGTCCCCAGAAAGATGAATCCTACGAGCACAAACAGGACCTTCGGATTTCGAGCCTCAGATTTCCCACAGAAGCTGCTAAGAGGAGGCCCAGCCTGTAGAAACATGATGCTTTTGCAACAGTTGCGGTAAACCTGAAGAGACATCACCAGACCACCGTCTAAGTATGTCGGGTCCCCCTTAGCAGTGGTCCTCTGACATTTATTGAAGAAGCCTCCTGGCGATTCTGTAAATGGGAGTTTTTCGAAAATAGGAAACCCTAATATTGTATCCTAAATAGTAGGATCCTTACTATAAGGACCCAGAATAAGGTACCCCGAATTTTCGGAAATCCCCAGATGGAGCCGAGCTTGAGGCTAGCCTTTGGCGACTCTAATGGGTTCTCATGTGCTGTTGCTGGGCCCTTAAAGCCCGAGGCGAGGGTGTGGAGGCGGTTGACTTCTCAGCGGTGTAATATGGGGGACTAAAAAAGTATAGTATATACCCCAAAGTAAAACCCTATTCTAGTTATTAAGGCGTTTTTTTATACTGAATCCGCCCACTGGGTTTCCGAAAGCTGAAGAGCTGCTTGGGAAGGCATCGCCTTCTTTCGCCATCTCCTTCCCCGACTTCCTCAAGCCCGGAATGCGGTGTTTCATTCCGCAGGCCGGGCTTACGTGGGGCTTAGGGCTCAAGGTTTTTTTGGGCTTGGGCTTAGGATGCAGAGCGTCGTGTTGTGTAATTTCCAGGCCATCGACCAGGATCCCTATTTCCGCCTCTGTCGGCGAGTGGCCGACGACTTGACCTTTAGGCCGCACACGAGAAGGGAAAGGTGGTTGGGATTGTCATAAGGTTAGAATAAAAAATGGCTATTATGAAGCCTGGGGCACGGGTTTTCGGGCGTTTGGGGGGGTGATCGGATGGGGTTGTGTCGCGGGCTTCAGGGTTCTGGCTTTAGGATGTGGAGCAATGTAGAGCGTACTCCTCGAGGCAGCTGGAGGTTCAGGATTTCGGCTTGTCGGCGAGAAAGGAGCAACAGAAATTTCAACAGAGTTGTTAATCTAACACTCCTGTTTTCTGCGATGCTTTCCGAAGTCTGGTCTGGTTTGGTCAGGGTTTCAGTAGTTACATATGCCAACCTGAATCACGAAGCCGATGTTCACAAACCAGACCGGGGGCGAGGTCGTTATCTTCCCGTCGAATTGCTTGCGTCGCAAACAGAAGTTCTCCTAATGGAAACCCGAACCAGGGAGAGGACTAGCTGTATAAGTACGGCTATTGAGTTCCAGCGTCTATGTCCCGAAGTCTTGTTGCAATAACTCTTAAACTGCTAAAGCTAAAGCCCGCCCAAGCCCCAGCCCCAAGACCAAAAAGAGAGCAACTTGATTCCTTTAGCCCTGGCGCCAAAACCCCAAGAAGCACACCTCTGCTTCTCTGCGCAGCGCCACCCAGGAAGTGGCCGAAGCCTGCGCTGATCCACTCCAAGTTCCTCCCGGCTCTCCAAGGTTGGTCGGACTTCATGCTCGTTTTGGGCTTAAGCCGGGCCTGAGGTCGGGTTTAGGTTCCAGGATTTCAAGCAAGATACCAGTCTTTCCCGGTAGAGGCGGTGCAGACCTGATGCAAAAACCCTAGACCAAAGTTTGAAGGTTTCCTTAACCTGGAATAACATACTTTTTGAGGACTTATACACGGAATCATTATAAGGATCCCTAGAAAGGTAGGTTGTTCAAGGTTACGTTTGGTTCGTGTGCAGGCCACCAGACCAAGATGTCCGCCTCGGTGGAGTCCACAGCACTCTACATGACGGACACCCCCAAGAAGCTCCGGATTCTCACGCAAAATCAAGCTGTAACCTCCGCCCGCCCCCCAGAACCGACCTATATGGTTTACCCTGAAAGCCTGAACCATCTCAAAACGCCCGAAACCCAAGACCCCAAACCACATCTCACAACCCTCATGGACTCTGACGCCTCTCCCGTCCTGAGTCCTCGCGTCCTGGAGTCGAGGCTCGAAGCCGAGAAATCCGAAGCCGCGAGAGAGCACTGCAGTCAAGCCCAGGTTTGCTCTAGGCCTTCTAGTAGGATCCTTACTAAAAGGAGCCCAAAGTAAGAAGGTACACCCTATTTCGGAAACTCCCATTTAGTCCGCAGCAGAGGCTTTTGCAGGCTGGATGCCAAAGGGGTTTAGGGATTTAGAGACTCCAGGTTTTGGGTGTTTGTGGTTTAGGAGTTAGGGCTTTAGGGGTCTAGGGTCACACGCATCGGCCTCAGTACGGGTGAAAAACAAGGGATTTAGGGTTTGGGTTTTTAAGGATTTAGGGTTTTCGGGTGTGGGATTTAGGGTAAGTTTAGGGGCTGTAGGTATCGACCTCAGTATGGGTTCAACAGAAGGGGCTGTAGGTTTTTGGGGTGGGTTTAGGGTTTGGGGATTTTGGGGGTTGCAAAGGTATAGGGGTTTCAAGAAGCCTTGCACTTCCGAGGAAGAAGATCAACAAGAACGCTTTCTCCGGCGGCGGGAAAACATTGGAGGAGATGTTTGCTCGGGATTTCGGGGTTTACGGTTCAACTTTTCTTTCGAAGCCGCTTAGGGTTTCATACGGCTTGGCTTTGGTTCAAGGGAAGTGTTGGTCAGCCCATTCGTGGTCAGGCAAGCTCCACCACGCAACCGTGCGAAGCACGTCGATGTGCAGCAGACGTAATCGCCATTTGTTGGAGTAGACTTGCGTTCTGGGCGCAGCCGCGCCCAATGGGGGTGAATACGGCGGATTTACACCACGAGGTGCGATGATGGCGAAGTGTGCGTGCTAGCTGCTGGAAGGATTGGACACCCCCGCAAAGGCCGTTTGTCAGAGGCAGGCCCTCAAGCATCTATGGTGTGACATCGAGACCTGCAACGATGGTGCGGCGACAACGTTCTTTGAAGGAAGGCTGGGTGAAGGAAGTTGCCACTTACGGGGTTAGGAAGTCGCTAGCAGGTTCGAATGTCGTGTGGCGACAATTCCGATCTATGTCATGTGCAAGCCAGCTCCTCAATTTGCTCTTTGCAGGGCTGTACAGACCCTCAGGAGCAGCAGAAGTATGGGGCCAACTTGGACGTGGACGTGTCCTACCAGTTTCTCTGCCCGCTCTATGAAGGGCAACCATTTTTACATCAGACTTCTAATCTCGCGAATCGGATGTTGATGCAAAATATAGAAGCAGAATTCAACAAGTGCGTTTACTATCAGTACATGTGTTTATATACTTGTGTATAGAAGCCGGAGATGGACTTCAGGTAGTTGTAGTCTGTTGGGCTGGAGGACCGGAATGCCTCGAAGAATCTGGTTCAGACTTTATTGCAGCGCCCATTATCGCAGTAGCTGTCCCGCTAACACCAGAACTTGCGCAAGCTGGGTTCGTCGTCTCTAATGCACACAATTTGTGCAGCTTGTTTGTTGTCCACTGTTTTTTTTTGGCTTCTTCGGCTTGGGGGTTTGCGCCCCCCAAGCGTATGATCCTCGATGAAAAGCCTGGATCCTTAAGTCGAATTCATCGATCTTTTGTAGCTTCCATGGACAGCTTGAACCTCAGGTATTTGAAGATCTGGTTGGAAGACGACGAAGAGTTGGAGAAGATCGGCACGGAGTACGCTGCGGGCCGAATGCTCACAGGAGAGGTGAAGAGGCTCGCCTCACATCGCTTAGCCAGGGTGATGCGTGTCGAGTTGTTGTGTGTGCGTACGTGCATCCTTAGATTCTCATGCTTAAACTTGTAAGGTTGCCAGTAGGAGAGGTCCTTCAATCACCTCAATCTTCCATCTAGGTATGGGTTATGCTGTATGAGACCTCCACATGAGCTTTGCATGCACATGATCTGCAATTTCGTAGTTGTGTGCCAGGTCATGCTTTACTATAGCCGCTATAGCCGTAGCAGATTATAGCCATCACATGACATTTTTCGTTGTAGTAGGCAGCATAAGATCTGTCGCATCGTCAACCCAGGAAGCGCCTGGCTGACGTGGTTGGTGAGATCGTCGTCGAGCACCAGGTGTCCTTCTCGGAACATCAGCCTGGATTTCCCGGATCCCCTAAACCGGTGGCCCTACGCCTTAAGCCGCTCGTTGCACTGCTTTTTTGCCGCATCGTGAGAGGTCTCGAGGTGTGTGCATACATGACCTTTGGTGGTCATGTCCTGTTCGGAAGCATGCAAAGGGCTTTCAGATGCTTGTGCTAGCAAGCAGGGCGAGTGCCCAATGTTATTGTTGAACCGGCTTTCGAGATGTGCCATGTCACGCGGTGGCACCGAAGCACTTAAAACAAGATGCAGCCCAAGACCCTCACAAGGCCAAAGGCCCCGAAACCACCATCCCTGCGACAGGAGGCCAGGAAAGAAGTCGACGACGAAGTCCTGAGGCTCGGGGCTACTATAGGGGCCTAAATAAATACCTATACTATTTTGGGGGTTCCTTATCTTTTTTTCCCATAGTATAGTGGGCCCCACGACCCTATTTTCATGATTAAGGTTCTTACATGAGGTGAGTGGTGCAATCTGTGTAGAAGCAGTTCCCACATAGAGCCAGAGTGGAGGGTTTCTAACGTGTGTAGGGCACTTTGTGTTTCGGATTCTCAGTGCCTGTGTTGAGGGTTGAGGTCTGGCGGGCTTGTTGACCTGCACAACCCTCCACCCCTATTCTTGTCGAAGCACTAGGCTCAGGTTGTGTTAGTTGAGTTAGTGTGGAGGTCTGAATAGATAGACAGTAACGTCTTCCGTTCTGGTCCCTCGGCCCTGTATACTTATACTACCATGTAGCCCGCAAGCCCTTGTTCTCACTGTTAAGGTCCCCAAATTTACAGTCTTCGGGTTGAGAGCTGTGAATTTGAGGAGCCGCGCTCTCCGATGTCATCCCGCGCGACGGGGTTTGGGTTAGGTCGTAGGGCGTCGTAGGGTAGAACTGCAGCTGCCGGATTTGCCATTGTAAACTGTAAACCCTATCTCCAAGGGTTACAGCCCTTACGCTACCGAGACGAAGAGCTCAGGGAGCAGCTTCGCGCTGACCGCCAACAGCAGGAGTCGAACCATAGCAAGCTCTGCTATGGTTGCAAAGACGATTCTTGTCCGGCTCCCGAGACGGAGCATACAGATGCGGCCGCGCGCCGTGCCGCGCTTGTGCGACGATGTCCGAGGGCCTGCGACTCCATGCACAATAGATTTTCCAGCTTGAACCTTCATGAGCCGGACAGTCTTCCGCGTTTTCAACCGAGGCATCCAAAGCTTTACGTAATAACTTGCAGTCGCGCATGCTTTCACGAGCGCTTGGCGCCGTTCTCGGCTATACCCCGAGAGCCCAGTGCCCCCAATCATACCAGTCACAGGAGGACTTGGGCACCTAAGAGTAGAAATCCGAAGCCCAGCTGCGCAGGCCAAGGGCACAAACTCCAAGTCACCTTGTCTCCTGATGTGCCCTCCTCCAAGTTGGAGGTTTGGAGTTTCAGGGTATAGGTCTAATACTGCCCCCACTAAGCGCCACTCAGTAGCAGTTGAATGCTTTGTGCAACATTGACATATAAGGCCCCGAACATTCGCCCTGTTATTATGGACTGTGACCTGACTGTGACGGAATAGGACTTTTGGTATTTGGACTTGTAGAGCGAAGTGTCAAGAGTTTCGGGGAATGGACTTAGGGTTTAGGAGGCTTACAGCGTAGAGTTTGGGAGAGGGTTCATCGTCTGGATTTGGGAGCGGGACTTCAAGACGCCCCTGAATTCTCACCCTACCCATGTAGCGGAACATGTCAGAACGTCGTTCCACAATCCGAGCTTGGCTTGTCTGCGAGCGAGTGTCGCAGCTCACTTTCCAAGTTGATTGTGCTGGCTTCCATCTTCTTGGATTGGTTTCCCAGTTGTTGTGCCCTGACTTCTTACGTATACTTCCTAAACCCCTCAAACCCCTGAACGAGATTCCTGCAGGCGATTCATGGATCCCGCCCGCGAGGAGCTGAAGCAGTGGAGCGAAAGGAGATCGAATCGTGCATGGTCGGGTTTGGGTTGAGGGTTCGACTTTCCAAGCCCGGATCGAGGTGTAGGGTTAATTGGACCCTAAACCCTAAACCCTAAACCCTAAACTGGGCTGGTGAGTGGAGCTGGGCGGCTTGGCAGTTCATGCCTTGGAAAACATCGTTGCGGGCCCCATTAAGGAAGTATACGAGCTACACATCCACCCCATTTTGCAACAAGGTTGGCCAGTTCTTCAAATTCCCTGAAGGCATCCTAAAAACGCCTTAACATATTTTCTTTTATCACAGACTCTGAACAATAAAGAACCCCTCTAGGGCAAGAGGTCGAGGTGTGTGCTGCTGGAGCAGTGGCGGGGTTTGGGTTCTTGTTCGTCTCCTTTGCGCAAGATGCTCAGATGTTAACCGTAGCTTCGAAAGGGAAGTCCAGCTTTTTTTAGCACAACGCTTTGCAAGTTGCATGGCCTAAGCTACGACTATGTACCCTAAACCCCAAACACGAAACATGGATACTATAAATGATACTATGGCTACTATGGATACCCTCCAGCTTATATGTGTGTCCCGCAGCAGTCCTGTAGAATACCAGGTGGAGGAGATCGACAGAATCATGTATCCATAGGATACCTTCGGTCGGGTTTAGGTTTTGAGCAGTTCTGGAATACAAGAACCACAATCAGGGGCTGCAGCACATGAACTGTCAGTCTGGTCAGGAGCAAAGTCAAGACCCTGGCGGCTGAGGGTGCTTAACATGGGGGCCTCAACAATTACCAATACTCTTTTGGGGGTTCCTTATTATAAATTTAGCAAAATATAACCCAAAACCCTATTCCAATGCTTAAAGCCCCTGTAGTAGGGCTTTCGGGTTTTGAGGGGCTTTGTCGCTCAGACTTTACTCAAGCCTGGCGAAGCCGCGAGGCACCCCCACAGTTTCTTCCAAACCCGACAAGGGGTCCTTAGATTTAAGACGAAAAGCAGCGCTGACACTCAAGATGCATATATTTGCCATCCAACCTGGGTGGAGGCCCTGATCGTGGGACGCTTCTGGAATGGAACCCGAACATACCAGGCGTATTTCCGTGGAGTATGAAAGAGGCCTGAATTCCTAGGGGTTCCTATTGCAATTGTTGTGTACAACGACCCGCCAAACCCTAGTCTTCATGATCAAGTCTCTCACGTAGTAACCCTTGTAGCAACCCGCTTCTGTAGTTCTTTGTCTCTTGGTCTCTGGCCGTCGGTTTTAGAAAGACTTCGGCTGCATTTTCGGACTTGGGCTGTTGCAAAGCAGCTTCCCAGGTTCAGGGGGCCCGCCTCACAAGTGGTATACAGCTCTAGAAAACAATGAAGCATGCTATGAGGATGCCACTTTTGAGATATGCCCCACGTAGGAGTTAACAATAGTTTTCTTCGGATATGTTTGCGGATCCCAGCGATCAGCGCATGACCCGGTTGACAGCACCTGCAAGATCTAAGTTAGGCTGTTTCAAAGTTCGGACCCATAGAATCTCATTGAAGCAAGCCTGACGCCCAGCTCGCAGCTAAAGCGCAGCTTCGCATCGGGGAACCGCGGTGCAGCCGACATTTTCTCGAGCGCCAGCGCCAGCGCCATGAACATGAGGAGTTGTCCACACCCTGAGCTTTCAGAGGTTTCGGATTGGGTTTTCAGGGTTCAAGGCCTCTAGCCCAAATCGCTGAACTCTAAAACTATATAGGCCCTTTTGTTGCATCAAAGCCTTCATATGACCGAGGCAAAATCCCTAACTCCTGCAGGGCCTCGGTTGGAAGTTGAAGCCTTGGTTCTTGGATGGGTTTGTACGGTTTCCAAGATTGACAGACGTTTCGAATGCCTGGGAGAGAGGGGTTTCGGTTTCAGGGCCTGGCTTCGAGATTTAGCATCATTGTAAGCCGCGGGTGCAGAGCTTGTGGAGTTCAGTGCTGGGCGTTGTAGCCCCCAAGTAGCCCAAGAATGGATGCAACTCAGCTATCTCAGATGCTTACATTACAGTACCTGAGGAACGGGACCGGAGCTTAGTTCAGGGCATGCGGATGTTCGGAACTGCTTGAAGTTTCGGCCTTTGTTGGGGGGCCGACCCGATTTACAGATGCGGGGTTGTTGCACAGCAGTGAAAGACATCGGGCTCGTCCGGCTGGCAAGAAGTACTTGTAGTAGCTGCCGTGACAGGACACGCCAATGTAGCAGCACGCGGAGTTATGGGACCGTGCATTCGATTTCCTCCAGCCGCATGCAGCCTGTCATCTTCGGTCATACTCGGTCATCTTATCCTGTTCCGTTGTGGCCAAACATCAACGCGGTGTTAACGTCGTGCAGCCATGCATCTGCGGTGGACCATCTTTGCCTTGGCCGGAGCCCTTGGGTTTCCGTCAACGAGGTTTAGGGTCTTGTTCTTGTGCTTCTACTTTTCGGTGCGTTTCTCTTGCGATACAGCCATCGTAGATGTCTGGATTTTTTCTTGCTGTTCTTGGAGTAATCAAAAGCTGAATCTAAGATGTTTGCTTCTCGGGGCGATCGTCATCTAAACAGGCTAATCAACAGGAAAACATGCTACCCTTCAGCATACATCAAGCTTCCTTTGGCCGCAAACCCCGTCATCCTAACACGGCCACAGTTTCTGTTCTTGTGTGTTGAGCGCTCACTTGAGTTTTCCCTCTGCGATTTCAGGCTGTCAGTCGGCTGCCCGCACAGACCCGTACAGCATGTTTGTTTTCGCAGTCTGTTTCAAGCCCTTCTGCGCCCGCGTCGGATCCACTTGTACAAGCTTTGTGCTGTTTCTCTGCTCGCTTCATTTTGCGGCTGCGAATGCCGGTGTTGCCAGCGAAGCCTTTGCATTGTGCACCAGATACCGTATTGAGCCTTCTGCTTTCACATCCTCCCTGCTTGTGTTTTATTTGTGTCCGCATTTGCAAAAGCGCCATGCTTTTATAGTCGCTCGAAGCACTTCTTGCGGGCACGACGTCGGCGACGACGCGGACCAGTTACTGTAATTTCCTTTCGATGCGACTGAAACGTCTTGTGCAGATAGCAAAACCCCGGCACCAAAACATGGAAGTGAGAATGCTACTATCGAACTAACGAACGAATGAATGAAGGAACGGAGGAAGGAAGGCATGAAGGAAGGAGTCTATGTAGTTTACGTCTGTACGTGTGTATGTCTGTGTGTATGCATGTATGAGCTGTATGTAATTACTTCCACGTGCAATATGTTCTCAAGCGACCTGGCATCCCCGGCATCTCGAAGCCATTAACTTCCTGCAAGACCTTGTGAAGGTCAGCTTGGTGACGACGAATGCCCTGACAAAGTTCAACTTTGAGGCTGACATTCGGCGGTCGCTTCTCACATGTCAGTGCCGAGTGAGACGGTGATGAATGATCATGAATCGGGCTTCGAACGTAAGGTTGCTCCTGTTCAACCGTGTATCAGTCCTTCCATTAGTTGATAAGTGAGTCGTGCGGCAGATAGTGATATGGGTTTTTTTTTTTTGGGGGGGTTGAATTTGTAGTCTTTGAGGAGTGTTGTCCTTGCGCGAAACACACCCCGAAACATACCCCGAAACATACCCTGAAACATACCCCGAAACATACCCCTGAAACATACCCCCGCGTTATCCAAATCGTTTGGATGAAGTTAGCAGCGGGCGAAGGTGTAGAGTAGCTCAACACAGGTCAGGAAAGGTTTCCCGTACCATACCCGTAACATACCTGAAACATACCCGAAACATACTTGGATTTGCTCCAAGTGGCCCGTTGGCCTTTTCCGCTTCGAAGCGATACTAACCGCCTGACAAGTCGGGACCTTCCAGACCTGCAGCCCACAACGATGCCTGTACCACTACTGCAGCTATTGTCACTACTACTTCTACTACTACTGCTACTACTACTGCTACTACTACTACTACTGCTACTGCTACTGCTCCTGCTACTGCTACTGCTACTGCTACTACCACTACTACCACTACTACCACTACTACTACTACTACTACGACGACGACTACTGCTACTACTACTACTACTACTACTGCTACTACTGCTACTACTGCTACTATTGCTACTACTGCTACTGCTACTGCTACTGCTACTGCTACTGCTACTGCTACTGCTACTGCCACTGCCACTGCTACTGCTACTGCTACTGCTACTGCTACTGCTACTGCTACTGCTACTGCTACTGCTACTGCTACTGCTACTGCTACTACTGCTGCTACTACTTCTACTGCTACTACTAATAGTCTGCGCGAAACACACCCCCAAACATACCCCGAAACACACTCTGAAACATACCCTGAAACATACCCGCGAAACATACCCCGATCCCAACACTCCTGGAAGGGCGCCCCCTATTCGGACAGACCCATATGTAGTAAGCCACCTACTGATTCTCTCGAAAATATGTCCGGCCTTGGCGCAGGTCTCCGCAGAGTACGACCTCTTCAACCAGGGGACGGCTGTGAGGTATTTCGAGGCGAGGCCGCCCAGTGCACCTGAGCAGCGGAGCCAGCAAGGCTGATGGATGGCGAGGAACATGGCAGAGCCACCAGCCCGTTGCAGACAAGTTAAGAGCTCAGAAAGACTTCACGACGCACCTTTACCCGAAGCCCGTCTCGTCTAATTATCAAAACCCGAAATCGTAGCAGGAATCCGTGCCTGCTTTGTGCGAGTGTGTGAGTTGAAATCGTAGCAGCCAGGACCTCTTCTACGAACCCCAGGAGGGCCAGAAGAAGCCGTCCCTGAACGCAACGCAGCTCGAAGAGGTGGAAGTGCTCCGCCCGGGGCTCAGAGCAGGGGGTCCCAAAGACCATACAGGCGCAAGGATATCAGTTAGGGGGAGCATGGGATCCTCAGATTCTGTTGTTTATCATTGTTTATCTGCCCCTGTGTCGGTTATTATATCAGACCAGCTGCTGCGTTCAAGTTTGGGATTGTTGGATATTCGAGCGACCAGTGCTTTCGGGCTTCGGGTTTTAGGGTTGTGCGCATGCGGAGCTGCGTGAGTGAGTCAGAAGCAGCATCAGAAGATTCACTATGAAGCGGTATAGCTACGGCTGCATTGCCTAAAACACTGCAGTGCTTTTCATTGGGTCTTTGACTAGGGCATTGAGTTTGCCCGGTGCGCTTTCGAGAGAAGGCGGCCTGGTTGGTGATACTGTAGCACCTCATCCTTTAAACATACTAAACCCAGACTCGAAACCTACACCCCATGCAGACCCTAACCCGAACCCTCAATGCGGGTAAGGAACCCCAGAATCCTACAGCACTTTCTCCTTGAAAGTTCGATGGCTGGGCTAAGGCCATCAGGCCTATGCAAACCCAGTGCTGGCGCTGGCAGGGGCGCAGGCACACGGCTCAGTGAGGAAGTGTTCAGGGTACAATTTGGACCGATAGGGTCCACTACATAGGTGTAATGGTGTTACGTGTCATCAGTAGAGAGAGCAGAATGGGCGACTCTGACAGCATGACATTTACCAAGGCGCAGACATGCAGCCAGCAAATCCAGAAGCAAGACCAACCTGAATCCCAAACCCTCGGACTCCGCCTATCTTAGGTCCTCTACATGTTCGGATGGTTCCGGAGCACCGGAGAGCTCATTTGGGAGAATATCCTCTCTTCTGCCGAGCTCTTTGAGCGTAGCATCCACGTTAGCGACTGCAAGCCAGAGCACTCCTATGAAGTCTGGCACGACAATGCCTGCGCCGCTTTGCCTCGGACTTTATTTCTTGTTGCGAGCCAGCTAACAGCTAGCCGCTAGCCGGCTATGAATATTGTTAATTACTGCAATTGCTTTTTCCAAGTTGTAGGATCATTTTTGAATACTAGTTTGGCGTACAGGATGTCAGCTTGGAAAGCTTAGAAGCAATGCTCTGGGAGTAGAGAAGTAGTTAGTAGGTCAGTAGATCATCCGAGTTAATTACCTGATCGCATGTTCTGAGCTGACAGACAAGCCGCAACGACTTCTCAACCTTCGGCCGTGAGCCTAAAGCATCCTATAATATGAATCCTGCTATTTTGGGGTTATAGGCCCAGGATTTCTCAGCTTCTTACATATAAACCCTAAAAACCTCTGGCCTGGTATCGTCCGAGTGTCAGTGTCGAACCACTGAAACCTCGGCCCCAAACGCCTAAATGGCGGTTTCCGAAAATAGGGGGCAGTAATATGGTACCCTAAATAGTATAGGACCCTTATTATTAGGACCCCAAATAAGGTACCCCTAATTTTCGGAAACTCCTAAAATGGAGTGTGACCCAGGACATCCGCTGGACGCATGCGATCTTGCTGTACCACTGGCTGGCCCAGACGGATACCACGTCGCAGCAGCAAGCTTATCAGAAGCTCCAGCCTGGTTACTATACCATTTGGTATTCCTTTTGTCTTGACTCCTCCGTGTCGTCGGAAAAGTTTCCGATCAATGGTTCTGGTGTAGACAACTCCCCCGCTAACTTGTGTGTAAGACGACCCTGCAGTGGCATACGCCATGCGCGGCCGTCAATCTCAAGGCCTCCCTTGTGACAAATGAAAGAAGCGGCAGTCGCTTGCGGTAATGACCCCGGTCCTGACCACCAGCATCAAAATTATCGATATCACCACCGCGGCCGCCGCCACCGCCACCACCACCACCGCCGCCACCACCACCACCACCACCACCAGCGCCATCACCAGCCACCGGCGCCTTCACCAGCCACGCCCAAACCGTAAACCGCAATTAGATATGAGTAGCCTGGACCAGGAAGAAGGCACAAGAGCTCCTGGAGGGCATCAAGCGCGTGCAGAAGTACGAGCCAGTGTCCAGTGGTTGGACCTCACCAGGGCACGTGACCTGCTCCGAATTTAGTGTGGGGTTTTAAGGGCTTACGGCTTTTTGAAGGATTTTGATCTATGTGCAGGATTTGAAGAACAAGGATTGTGGTGAGAAGGGTTAAGGGGAGAAGACTTGGTGGAGGCATCAGAAACTTGAATCTACTTTGTTGTCAGGTTCTTATAACACGGATCCCACTACTTCTGAGCTAGCGTTCTAATGACATAAGGGCCCCCGACTTTCTGAAAGTCCGAAGCTACGGCTTTTACGATAAGATTACAGGGTTGCATGGGGTTTCTCCGTTCTTAGAATCTCAACAGTGCTTTTCTGCTTTTCAAGAGGACCTAAAACCCTACGCCCTCAACCGTGGAGAGGCTGAGCTCCTTGCCCGAAACCCTATAAGCCTCAAAGCCCCAACCCCAAAAAGCAACAAAGCCCGTACGGCCCCCAATACTCTAAACTCTCAACCCCCCAAGCCCAGGTGAACTTCAACTCCATCATCTTCGCTGGGAAGCCCTCGAGACCTATCTGGGCGACGGCGGAGCTTCCAATAGGCCCCGGGTCTCAGAAGATCAGAAACTGAAAGCCGGGTTTAGGACTTCGGGGCGTTTAGGGTTGAGGGACTTAGGAGCCTCGACGTTCTCGTCAGTGATCGTTGGGGTGTTGTGTTGTTGCCTGATATTCCTGCACTTACTTCCCGAATCTTTACGGATCTTGGAGTTGTAGCCACGTGGTCGTTGCATCCTGAAACTTGGGATGGCCAGTCGTCGATCAGTTTTTGCAATCTGGGGTAGCCGTGTGGCACGAGCCCACAGCACAGTCGGCGCCTCGATTCCTGGCATATGCGTAGTCCAGGTATAAAAAGGGACTTTGGAGCGAGGTCTAAGGTCCATCAGCCCTCAACTCACAATGCATCACATTCTAAACCTTACAGGTTTCCTTCAAGATATGTAGTGGCACATCTTTGAAAGCCCGCACTTTGCTTAAAGGTCCACCGGCAGCTCCAATACGTCGGTTAGTAGTATATAGGGACTATTTGCAGCGTTTTTTGCGTTTCGGGTCCACCCCAAAGTAGGGTTACAGGTGCCTTGGTAACAAGTAGACTTAACCTGCCAAGTCATGTGCACCTACTCTAAATAGCAGGACCCTTATTCCAAGGACCCCAAAATAAGGCACCCATGACACCTCAAAGTGGTTGCCAAGCCCGAAGAGAGGGGTTCAGGATTTTGGGCGTCAGGGATTCGGGATTAAAGGGCGGCCACGGTAGCTTTTGGAATCGCCTTGAGGGTGTTGACGTGGTTTTCTCAGCTGATCTTCAGGTCGGAGATTTGTTTGACTCACGGCGCTCCAGTTCCAGTTAAGAGCAGGAACAACACGTCGGAGTGCTCAAAACGGCACAGCGGCCGCGAAGACCACAGCGGCAGACGGAACCAGCAGCTGCAGCAGCAACACCCCCAGCGACGACGACGATGGTCACCTTGGGGCAGCGGGAGCAGCCAGCACCGGGCAGCAGTAGCATTGCAGCGGAGGCTGCTGCTGTCAGTGCCCATCAAGGAAGTCTGAACTTCAATGAACCCCGAAGCCATGAACCCTTCTTTTGAGATTTAATGAGGCTCGACACCCCAGCTTCAACTGCCCCGGTCAGGTCTTCAAAACTGAGTCAAGGGTCTTTCCCTCTGGCGTCTATTTCAGTCAAGAATGGTACTTAATTAACTTCTGCGGGCTTTTCTGGTATTGCCATAACTCCCTACACCCGGAAACCCGGAAGCCATAGTCCTTTCGCGGAGGCAAGTGGCTAGAGGAGCACCACCACATCTTCAAAGCGGAGCTTCAGGCGATCCTGAACGAGCCAGGAGATGTGCATCTCGCCAGGCAGAAACGAGTTACTCGTTTCATTTGGTTGGTATTTTCATGGTAGTTTTCATTTTTATAACTATTTTAAAACGTACTACAGTATATTATGTCATACTGAATTCATGTAAACTCAACTAAATTACATGCTAAAGCGTGACAGATCGCTAGAAAGAAGAAGTCTCATCTAGGGTGTTAACAAGGTGCAGGGATTGGGCCCGCGCTATAACAAAACCCCAACCCTAAATCCTACGCCCTGTCGCCCTACCTTCAACTACCGAAACCGATTGTTTTCTGGGGTCTGAGTGTTTTCGATCATCTGATCCCTTCAGTCCCGAAGTCCTCACATCAACTCGAGCACCCTCGGGCGAAGAAAAGGCGAGCTGCTCCCGTTGATGCTTCCAAGGGGCTCTTGGAATGTATGGATTGGGCCCGTAAACCCAACCCAAGTGCCACCTAAACTCTAAACTGCCCTAAAGCCTCCCCCAAGGTACTCAAGAGCCAAGAGCTGATAAGCCTCTGAAGGTATGGTCAGCTTATGAAGATCGACCCCTCGCGGGAGCACCTGGCAACACCAGGGGGCTGGGACACTCTGCGCATCGTCCGCTACCATAATTGGTTCGAGGCGGCCGACCACTCCTTTCAGGGATTTGTGGTCGCGGTTTCTGGTGGGTGGCGACGCATTAATATGGCATAATTGGGAAGGATGCTGCAATGATTTTGGGGTGTGAACCTTATGTATGAGTGTATATTAAACTTGTGCAGAAGCCTTTCAGACCCTACACCCTCAACCTCCGTTGAGTCAAGCCTGGTCAACCCGAATGACATCGCCTTGAAGCAGACCCGAGACACAGGATGGACAACAATGACGATGGCATTGCTCTTATCCGTATGGCCGTATGGAAGGGACATGAAGGGACACCAGTGGCAAACACGAACATTAGATGACACAGCCGCAGACGAAACCGTAGTACCCATCAAGCCCTTTCGACAGGTCTTCTGCCAGCTTGCGCCCATGACTTGTGAGCTCATTAAAACACGTCCGGAGATCAACGAGTGCAAGTTCATGAATGTCAACTATGCCGCCAGCCCGAAGCAAGCTGTCATGATAGTGGTAGTCGTCGTAGTCGCAGTAGTAGGAGGACGGCAATTGGGGAAGATTTTCAGTTTTCCTTGTGGGCCTGTACAGGCATTGATTGACAGATGCTTTTTGGGACCCATGAAATGCCATGCAGCTTAAACCGATATCTCGTCAGGGCCACAGAAGGGCTATGTTTCGCTTGTTCCTCAGGCTGCTAATACATGCAGGCGGGAGTCATACAATGTACAGTATCATGTGATGCAATGTTGTACAACCGAATATTCTATGACCTTGTGTATCCGGTCTCGGATTTGGACATAGGGCTTTGGTTTTGGGTGTGGGGGCTGGGATTTGGAATTTGGGGTTTGTAGTTTAGGGCTCAGGGTTTAGAGGCAAAGAGGATTCAGTGTTAGTGTTTTGGGGTATCGGATCCGTGAGAGTTCTCGCGGATCTTTTAAAGTTCCGGTCCTGCAGCCACTGATCAAATACAACATGGACGACAACATGTTTCAACGGTAAACCTCGACCTTAGTGCCAGCAAACATGGATCCTGGTGTGGCACTGCTTGTTCAATCCCGCAGAAGGTGAAGAGAGAGAGACTAACTAAGAACTCTCAAGCTTACCCTGAGAGGATTGACCAAGTAGCCGCAGGCCCGACAACATGGGTAGCTCAGCTGAAACAAATTACATCACTTGGCCAGCAGACACACGCCTTTGACTTTAAGACCCGCGACAGGAAGCAAGGTATAGGATTTGTAGGAGAGATGGGAGAGTTTGAGTAAAGTGTAGGTACTTCAACACACCCCACACACACACATGTGCGCAGACACGCACATGTGCATCTATAAATCTGTTCCTACCTTTGCGTGGATGATACATTCCTGCTAGCTATACAATGACATCACCAGACTTCCCGGAACCCATCCTAACTGAGAGGGCCCCCAGATTACCCAGAAGTCCGAAGCAGAGCAGAGGTTCGCCTCAACCCGGGGACTCATCTGAAGCCCCACTATGGCAACGGGCCGCGGCTGTCGGCCCACCTGTCAGCCACTTGTGGGAAAGGAGGCTTGTGTGTGGATCGGCTGTAGGGTTTAGGATGCCTGAACCCTAAACCCTAGACCCGAAGTCTCTAAGCCCTAAAGGCCCTAAATCCTACACTTACTCTGTTGAGGGGAAGGCTGGGATTGTTCGGGATGGAGGTGGCCTGCGGCTCCCAGCTTCCGCATCTTCTTAGGTTTCAGGGCTTCGGGAGATCAGGGTTTCTCTTCTCTGTCGTGTATGCGCTCTTATCACAAGCAAAGTCACATGAACATAAACCTTCGGTATTGGGACGACATAGTAGGGACAGGTAGCCAGGTAGCCAGAAGGCAGGCCCCTGCCAGTTTACAGGTCAGTGGGTGCTATGCAGGAACGGATAGGCCGCAGCTCAAAGATGTAACATATTCCATTCGCGAGGAGAGGTTGTAACAGACAGGCCTTCTCGCTGCACATACCGTCGGTGCAAGTGTTTGCTTGATATAGAGGTGTTGTTTGCTATGTTTTGGCGACCCACGTAAACGTTGCCAAGCCGCACTCATGTTGGACGAAGCCCGGACGTCCCGAACCAAAAAGTTTCGTAATTTCTTGATGGAAGAGTACCCTGCCTTGTTTTTCAGGCACATGTAAACTTTCTGAGGCACTGATGTCTAAGGACGGAAATTCTCCCGGCGTCGGGGGAGCGTCTTAACGGAGTTGTTCGGCACTGGGTCTTTCCATCGAATGTTGCCACAGTGCCGCCGGGATGAGTTTGCCCATAACGGTAACTGTCTGCAAAACATGGGTTCAATTCTGGCCTGTAACCTTGCCTTCGACCTGTGCAGACTGCACATTGGGTGCCCTTGTTCCCTTCACTTGTTCGTTTCTATTTTGATTTCTTGCCGATTCGTCCCGAAACCAGCATATTTAATAGTTCAAACAGTAACTCTGCCCATCGATGAGGATTTACCCCTCAAAAGCTTCGAACCCCTATGCGCAGAACCCTTGACCCACACACCCAAAACCCTACATCCTGAACCTTTACTGATTCTAGGAATCCAAATCCCTGAGCTCCTAGCCAACTCTGAACTTGCTTGAAACCAAAACCTGCTTGAAACCTACCCTACATTTGTACTTGGCTTCCTATAGGCCCCAAACCCTGAACCCTGAAACCTTTAAACCCCTACACCCCAAAACCCTTGCCCTAAATCCTAAAACCCCAAACCCCTGAACCGAAACTTGGTATAACTCCGAACCTACATGCCTCGCCTGGTTTGTCCGAGTTTGAGCGCCGAAACCCCTGAACCCTGAACCCTCAACCCTCAAACACTAAGTCCTAAAGCCCTAAAACCCCAAACCCCCTATTCCTTAAACCCTCAACCCCCCTGAGCCCTAAACCTCAAAGCTGCAACAAGCTGAAAGCCAGCTTATAGTACCGACCGTCAAAGCACACTGCACCAGAGACCTCGTCTGGCTGTGTCCGAGTTGCGAGAGCGTAAACCTCAAAGCTGCCAAAACAAACACGAGCAGAGAGCTGCTGAGGTCATCGCTCCAGAGCCGATGAAGGCAGGCTTGACCGAGCCATGTCGGAAGAGGGGTCTTGGGCGTAGGGGTTTAGGGTTTAGGGCTCAGGGTTCGGGATGGTTTGGGATGGTTTGGGAGTTTAGGATTCAGGGGTTTGGGAGTTTAGGGTTTAGGGTCCAGGGGTTTGGGAGTTTAGGGTTTAGGGTTCAGGGGTTTGGGAGTTTAGGGTTTAGGGTTCAGGGGTTTGGGAGTTTAGGGTTCAGGGGTTTAGGGTTTAGGCTTTAGGGGTGCAAGGGGTTTGAGAGGCGTGGATGCCAAAAATTTTGTGGTTAAAAAGAAGTCGCCCTCCCCCCAAGAACACGGCGAGACGTGTTCCGTCTTTCTAGTGCCAATATACACCCAGGACTTTTGCAAACTATCGCATGTTCTGCGGGTTCAAATCGACGCTGAAAGAGAACATGCGGGGGTTTTGGGGCTTGTGAAGGTTTATGGCGGCATACCTAGCGGGCTTGCGAGGGTTCGTGGGTTTATTAAACTCATACATGTTGAGGGTTTGGGGTGAGGGATTCGGGTTTGTTAAGGGTTTGCAGGTCTAAGGGGTTCCTATCGTTGAAGATGTTATGCTCAATGAGGCACTTTCCTGATGTCAAATAGCGAGCATGGCTACCCCATTCACCATCACCATGAGCACGAGGGTCTTCTAAACCCTAAACCCTAAACCGTTCACTGTCACTGCCACTGTTACCCGTCCGAGTCATCTTTTCGGTTATGGTGGTTGGTTGCACAGCAGGGTGTGGCCAAGGCTTCAATGATTTCGGTGCTCAGGGGCTGGTGTCAAGCGGTATCCAGGACGAACTTTATGTTTTTATCGGCCAGTTCTGTACGCAGGAGCCGATGTGCACACACCCAGGGAGCTGCTTTGTTTTCGGGGGGAGGTTCGGGATTCTGCTTATTGTTGAATGCGGGAGTCAATCGTTCACCCGAAACCTGACAGATTGGTTTTGAACCCTTCGCCCATGTACTATTAAATGGCGCGCCCCCCCCCCCCCATTCTAATCGTGGCGGTTCTTTGCCAAGGTCGCGGACCAGAAGCGACTGTGGGTCGAGGGCGAAGCGATCCTGTTTGACGACACCTACCCTCACATGGTGACCCTCGGAAGAGTTTTGTATGTTGAGTCGTGCTCGGATAGCTCAGCATCTGGCTTAGGGGCTTAGGCTTGTCGGCAGCAGCAAGAGGGGAGAAGGAGGAGGAATGGCTAGTAGCAGCAGGAGCAGCAGCAGGAGGAGGAGGAGGAGGAGTAGTCGTCGCCATCGAGTTCGGCATCTTCAAAATCGTCGTCGTGCCGTTCACTAAACGACGTTGACGTCGTCGTAGCAGCAGGAAGAGGAAGGTCTCCAGAATACAGCCATTCAGAACGCACAGTGTCGATCGGTCGATCGATCTATCGATGTCTGCTTTGCCCTCAGCTTTGCCTATCTATCTTTCTGCCTGCTTTGCCGTCTACGTATGTGCGCACCTACGCAGTCCTTCTGTATAACCTGTCTACTCCATCCGATCTACAGTACATATTTATCTAGCTGTCTATCCATCGACCTGTTGCTCAGTCTATCTATCTTTCCGTTTATCCTTTGCCTATCTATCTATCTACCCACTTGCCTCTACGCTATCCGTTGATTACCTTCCTACCTACCTACCCATCTCCCTCTCTCCCTCTATCTCTCTATCCCTCTCTCTCTCTCTCTCTCTCTTGCTCCCTCTCTCTGTCTCTCTCTCTCTCTCTGTCGCTCGCTCACTCTCACTCTCACTCTCACTCTCACTCTCACTCTCACTCTCACTCTCACTCTCACTCTCACTCTCTCTCTCTCTCTCTGTCCCTTTTTCTCTCTATCTGTCTATCTACCTATCTACCTCATGTTGTGTTATGTTATGTGAGCTTTTGTTCTGTTGTATTGTGTTGTGTGTTCAGCAAATGTGCATCCAAGGAGCCACTGGGGCACACAACCCCGCTACGTGATCCTTGTCTGGTTCTGCCATCCCTGCGACGGCGGGAACGCACACAACCAGACCTGCCCGACTGTCTGAGCTTGCGCTTTCCAGAGTGAGCACTGCGCTGCGGCACCGGGTTTGGGGCCTAGGGCTGGGGGCAAATGCATGGTTTCCGATGCTTACACGCTTCTCCAGGTCTCTGCGGTTGTAATTTGAGGAGTAGGCTGGGCAGTCTTATTCCACCTGGGGTTGAATTTGCACCGTCCGTGGATACAGAAGCTCCGAGGAGGGGATGCTGTCAAGCCAGTCGCGGGGTAAGACTTGAAGCTGCAACCACAAAGAAGCTCCAATCATGTGGTTCGGGGTTCAGGGTTGAGGTTTGGAGTTTGGGGTTCCTAGTTCAGGGTTTATGGCTCAGGGGCTAAGAAAGCCGCGCACAAGGCCAGAAAGCTGCAAAACTGTTTAACAGAGCGCATGAGCTCCTATCGAGTGCTTCAAGCCTTCGTTCCCACGGGGAGGGCGGAAGCTTTTGCCGAGCTGGGTAAATCATAGCATGCAGATTATAGAGCTTCAGAGAACGGTCGGAGTAATATTTACTACTTAGTATTCTCCCTTATTACTAAAGCCTTAAATTATCTAGGATGTACATGCCTATGAATTCATTGAGGCCCATGGGTTATGGGACCCAGCGGTTCAGGATTTCGGGTCTTACCAGCTTAAGGTTTCGGGTGGTTTGAATAGGACATAGTTCACTCAGGTGAAGGCCGTGCAGTGGGTCAGTGAGTTTTTGGGGTTCTCCAGGAAACCAGGATGCTGCAGGATGGACGCCTGTTTAGTCGTTTTCAGGTGCCTATGTTCTCGCTGACCCTCACATTCGCAGAACCACTGTTTTGGGTCCACCGGGAGGCATGCAAAGAGCGAAGAAGAGAACAGAGCCAGAACAAGGACTCTGTTGCCCATACTCCCCCTGCGAAATGTTCATGCTTGGCATTTGTAGCGCCTTGGCCCTGTGATTTCTGCCTTTGGAGGCCTCAGCAAGTCTAGCATGCATCTCTTTGAATGCCAGGCGACCCCACGCCACTTATATATATATATATATTATAGTATTTTATATTGCATTTTTTAGACATCCCTACACACTTACCCGGGAGTTTGTTGGCTGAATGGCTCACCTGGTTAGTCCGGGTGTGCGAACCCTGAAGAAATTTAAAACCCGAAACCCGAAACCTCAAACCACAGGACCTAAAACCTTAAAGCCCCGCCGGACCCGAAGGTACCTTCGAAATCACTGTAGTTTGTGAATCCTAAGCCCGAGCCCTGAACCCCTAAACCCCTAAACCCTTAGCCTGACGAGATCACCCCAAGCTGAGACCCCCATTGGCAGAAGCGGACCTGAGAGAGAGAACAAAATTGCAATGAGCAGTTTTGTGGGGTTTGGGATTTGTGTTTAGGGGGCTGAGGGTTTAGAGTTTGGGATTTATGGTTTCGGGATTGGGGGTTGGGGGTTGGGCCCCTCTACAATATAAGGTTTGGAGTGGGGCCTTCGGATTTGGGCCGGCGGTTTCGGGTTCCGGAGAGCCGGCCCAGGAAAGGGCCGAGCCCTAAGTAACAGTCTTTCCGATCACTTCGCCGAAGGACGTGCCCAAAAGTTGTCTGGAAAGGGCCATAAAACCCGTTCGTGTCGTACGGTTTTATCTTTGTCAGGACTTTGAGCTTCCCGTTGGGTGTGGGTAGGAGGTTTTGCGTTGGGCTTTGGGGCATGAATGGGATAGAGCTCTACATAAGCAATAGCGTCAGTGATTTAGGGGCTTTGGGGTTTCGGGTTGATTGTTTCAAATGAAGGGTGGAGGGGTAGGGCGAAGTTGAGGGTAACACGGTTGGGTGTCATGGCTCAGGCTCCATCGCATGAGAGGTTGGCATTTCCTTATGTAGGATTAGAAATCGTCGGGCACTGGTTGCGGTTATTTAGTTTAAGAGCAGCTTGACTGTCGGCATGCTGGCTGTATGTGAAGCCGCTGTTGCTTGGAGCCTTAGCTGAAGGACATCGAAGGCATCCTCGTATTTCCGACGTGGTAGGCCATTCATATGAATCTGTCCTCGCTTTCGCTATCTTCGGCTGATGGAGCTGCCGGTAAGGCGCAAGCGCAAGGCCATCGCTTCTTCAAGCAATCAGTGAACCATGCGACAGTGTCACTGGACCCTAAAGCCCCCCCAATAGACTTAACCTGTCAGCGAAATGAGTTGCACCTCGTGCTGCAAGGTTCTTGTTGCATTTCAACGCATCCTATGCACTGGCATCATGGACTCTTTCTCCCCAATCCCATCATCATGCCGACCCTTTCATGCCCCATAGTCTGAACCACAGCCCCAAGAAATCCAAATAGCTTGGATTGGGCGCTACATGCCCGCAGCCGCTCCTGTCATACCAGAGGGCCTACCCCTCAGCTTTCGACTTCCTCTAAAGCTTCTAAAGGCCGATTGTGTTTCCTCCAGAAGCCTCTGGTAACCGCTTGTACCGGGCAGCTTTGTCTATGCCTCAGGCGCGACAAGTCAGTATAGAGAGAGTACCCGCGACTCAAAACCCAGAACCTCGGCCTCAGCGATATTAGCGTGTAAGAACACTTTGTAGGAAACTTACATTGTCTTTGCTCGGGCATGGGTGCTCTGTGGCAGCGTATCGTGTCTGGGGGTGTTGAGCTATCTTGCAAGACGGAGACTTCGTCGCTGACGCGGCCCAAGCTGCATGCTTCTGCAGGAAGGTCAATGTGCAAAAACCACACGAGACGCATGGTTCTAGCACCTGTGCGGAGTGTGCGAACACAAAGCCCGGACCTCGCCTTGTCGACCTTGTGTCTTTCTATCGCCTGAACAAGACTGCTTTGAGTGTGCAAAAACTCAGAACACTGCCTTCCGGACAACATCGCAAACCACAACAGGCTGTTAACAAGCAGCATTCGGAGGACCCCACCCATCTCCACGAAAAGCATTAAGCAATCGAGCACGCCAAAGCACTGTATATACCGTTGAATTTCGCTCCCTCACGAATCACAACATCCGATCCCGAACCCCCCGGGCGGAAAGTGCTATACCTTCCACGGCGTCCAGTGACGCACACGCCAAAACCTTCAGCTTCTTTCAGCTACGGTTATGACGACCATGTACACTATTGTTACTGGTATTGTCATGATGAATAGTCTTACTATCACTTGTATCTTGGAGTGTTGTATATGGTTTTTGGAATATGATGCCGCTGCCTGCCTGCAGGCACTGGGCTCCCTGGCCAATCGCCTGTAGCCCATGCCGTGGCCTGAGCCCTGTGCAGAGATTGAGCTTCAGTCGCGAGGGTTTATTCAGGGTGTGTGGGGGTCGAGTTTATGCCTTTATGCCTGTAGGTCGTTGGGTTTGGGGTTTCAGTTGCTTGGTGCTCGCATCTTTCAAAACAGGGGGCTGGCACATTGACAGGCTTTGCCTGGCTCTAACATGCAGTGCCATTGTGGTTTGGGCCGGGGTGGGGGGGGGTTCGGGAGGGCGGCAACCACGGACAACACCGGTGCTGCAATTCAATTCCTGAAGCGGCCATTCCGCTATGGCCTCCAAATTAAATTTTCATTATCGAGCAGCAGCAATCCCCAAGCCCTCGGCTCTTTCATGGCTCAGTCAGCATCTTTGGGCCCTGCATTCTTGCGTTCATGGCATGCCAAGGAAGC